TTTTTTTTTTTTTTTTTTTTTTTTAAGATGACTGGTAATGGGATCTTAACGCTTGACTTGGTGTTGTTAACACCACGCTCTCCCAAGTGAGCCACGGGCCAGCTCTCGCATAGCCAGCTTTCATTCATTCTTGCAATTCAACCCAGGCATTGGATCTTTTTCCAAGGAGAATTTCATGATCTCAGCTGGAGCAGTGCCCCAGTGTACTCCCACTTTATCTTATCCTGTTCATGGCATGATGAATGTGGCTTCACAGTTCTGCAACTCCCCTTAAACCATGAGCTCCTTGAAGGCACAGACCACAGATCTTACCTGTATCTCCAGTATCTGGCAAAGATTCTGTCACATACATGTGTTTTTTTTTATTAAAAACGCTAGAGCTTAATCAGTTAAAATACATAACATATCAAAATAGCCGTTTTTGATATGTTATGAATAATGGAAGGCTAAAAGGGAATGAAATTGTGCCTACATTTCTCAATTCAATGTTCCTGTTTCAGATGTCAGAAATTCTAGCTTTTTACTGCAGGTGGTTCTCTGACCTTGAAAAATAAGGAGTCAGTTTCTCAGGGCTGGCCTAAGAAGTTCTTTCTCATGAAGAGAACCCAAGTACAAGTGCAAGTTGTCCTATACCATGATAATCTTGACTGCAGAGGCAGAAAAACTGAAGACAATTTGATTTTCAGGGGTGGGGGCGGGAAACAGTTGTCTGAGCATACCTTTTTTTTTTTCACAGCTCTTTTTGTTGTCTGTGAGAGCTGAGAAAATTACACTTTTGAGAAGTAGGCTTTAGAATGCTGTAGTATGAAGGGAGAACAAATAATTGGAAAACAAGTTTCTGACTTATTGAGTAAGACAGTTTCTCAAAGGATTTTTAAAGTTACCTTTAGAAAAGGGAAAGAAAAAATAGTATTTGAAGTTTTTCTTCTTGAGTTTCAGCAAGAAAGGATCTTCGTTCCATTTTACCAGTTATTTTTTGGTACCCTAAAGATGTACCTTTGAATTCTTAGCTTCTGTAATGAAAGATTAAAGTAAGATATCTGTTCCTCTCTAATTACCTTTTTTTAATGTGACTGACAAGACATTTTACACAAGCTGTTAATTCTCTGTGATCATAAAAGAGCAATTTAATCTTATCTTTCATTTTCTAGGAATAAAATATAATCCAAAAAAAAACTTGGTTACCTAAGCCTATAGTACAAGGTGGGTGAAGAATGGTAGGAGATGAGGTTATGTATCAGGGATAGCATCTTATCAGATAAGGGTGACACACCAGTTCCTGGCATGCTCAGACACATTTTAGATAAAATGGGTCATTGTATCAAATAGGCATCGTGGAAGATAAGAAAATCAGTCATTGAAATCACTTAAAATATCAAACCAAATGTAGAAATTTTCATGAATGTAAAGGACCAAACAGAGTATAGGAAGATGACTTGAGGGGCAGCTGAAGGAATTTAGTCTGTCAAAGTATTGATGAGCCAGTTGAGTTCTGACCTCAAGTCTGTGGTAGGCAGGATATGGAGAGAATAAGCAATCTCCACTTGAAAGACACCAGGGGAGATGGTACCTGTGGGGGAGCCAGGTTTCAGTTAAGTAAGGATATAAAGGGTACATCAAATGAAAAGTTTGAACAAGGCCCAAAAAGTTATATGTCAGTTTTTCTCAGTCTTTTCCTTTTTCTATACCTCCTTCTTTGAAATTGGTTTATTTATAGAAGAAATATTTATTGAGTACCTATTTACATGCCAAGCATGATACTGGATATCAAGATGTACAGTGGTGAGTGCATAAGTTCCTGAAATATGGACAGGATATGTAGTGATCACATTGTATATGTATTAGAATTATGTGCAATATTTGGGAATAGGTGGGTATTTGGGGTTTTAGAGTTTTAGGGCCTTTGCAGGTATAACTTATCATGTTCATTGAATTAAAGAAAGAAGAAAATTGGTCCGAAAAAGCAATCTGTTCTGTAGATGTCAAAAATTTCCTGTCATAGTCTCCAATTACAGTAGAATAAAAGCAAGATATGATCCCTACCATGGCAAGTGAATTCTCAACTTCCAGATTATTCTAATTTGGGACCTAGGAAAATATATCCATAGTTACCTTTTTCATTAGTTATTCATTTATTTATTTGTCATATTCTTACTGAGTGTGCCAGTACTGTACCACATGCTAAGAATATAACAGTAAGCAAGTAGATAAGGTCCTTGGTCTCATGAAGCCTATATTCTATAAAAAATAGTTATTACGGAAAACTAACTCTGTGCCAGGTACTGTGCTAGGTACTTAAATATATCATCTGTAATGCCTCTTGGTATAGGATAATAATATCCAGTTTTATAAATGAGGAAATTTGAGACTCACTAAAGTTCATTGGAATTAGATACCTCAGCTTCCCAAAGGAACCCAGGTGTCAAATGCATGCAACACTCCATGCCACTTGCTGCCTTCCAGCATATCCTCAAGGCTACTGTGTCAAGCAGAGTAGTATGTTAGGTGTTAACGTGGGGGTAGAAAAGAAATGAACCCCATTTTTAGGACATTTTATTCTATCACAAAATAAACACTAAACACCAATAGAAAAATGAACTACACTGAGATATTATCTCACCCCAGTTAGACTGGCTATTATCAAAAAGTCAGAGAATAACAAATGCTGGTGAGGATGTGGAGAAAGAGAAACCCTCCTATACTGTTGGTTGGACTGTAAGTTAGTGCAGCCATTATGGAAAACAGTGTGGAGGTTCCTCAAACAACTACAGATAGAACTGCCATATGACGCAGCAATCCCACCCAAAGGAATGGAAATCTTCATGTCAAAGGGATACCTGCACTCCCATGTTTACTGAAGCTCTATTTACAGTAGCCAACAGGTGGAACTACCCTACATGTCCATTGACGGATGACTGGATAAGGGAAATGTGGTCTATATACTCAATGAAATACTGCTCTGTCATAAAAAAGAATGAAATTCTGCCATTTGCAGCAACATAGATGAACTTAGACAAAATTATGTTAAGTGAAAGCAGCAATCCCACCCAAAGAACAACTACAGATAGAACTGCCATATGACGCAGCAATCCCACCCAAAGGAATGGAAATCTTCATGTCAAAGGGATACCTGCACTCCCATGTTTACTGAAGCTCTATTTACAGTAGCCAACAGGTGGAACTACCCTACATGTCCATTGACGGATGACTGGATAAGGGAAATGTGGTCTATATACTCAATGAAATACTGCTCTGTCATAAAAAAGAATGAAATTCTGCCATTTGCAGCAACATAGATGAACTTAGACAAAATTATGTTAAGTGAAATAAGCCAGGCACAGAAAGAAATACCACATGGCCTCATTCATTTATAAGTGGGAACTAAAGTAAATAAAGAAAGAATCACAATAATGTATTGAACTTTAAAAAAAGAGAGAACAGAACTGCAGTTATTAGAGGTAGGAAGGGAGGTTGTAGCAAGAAATTAATGAAGGGTCACAAAGATTGATAATGTTTTGTAAACATGAGTAAGCAAATTATCCTGATTTAATCACTACATTTTGTACACGTATTGATATTCAAATCTGTATCCTACAAATATAATCAATTATGATTCAATTTAAAAAGTAGCATTTTTTGAAAAAAAATTTTTTAAAGAATAAAGGGAAAAATAATTCATATTTTAAAAAATTCAAACAGCCAATAAGCAAATGGAAAACATTCAATTTTACTTGCAAACAAAGAAATGAAAATTAAAATAATGAGACACCACTTTCACCTATCAAAGTAGAATGTGTTTTTTGATGGTAATATCCAATGTGTGGGTGAAGTACTTCTGTTGTAAGCATATGTTTTTGAACATCCATTCTGGAAAACAGGATTTATCAGAACCTCAAAATGTTCATACCCTTTAACCGTGTAATTATGTTTCCAGGTGTCTATCCTAAATAATGGCTAGAAACTCAGATCACATCATTTTCAAAGATATTTTATCACATTGTTGTTTAATATTAGGAATAATGTGAAAATAAATAAAGGCCAATCTAGATAGCATAACATTATACTACCATTAAAAGTTATTATTTTGTAGTTCATTTAATGATTTGGAAAATGTTCTCAATAAATATTAAATTTGAAAAAACATTGTAAAACTTTATATATAATATCCTAATTATGTAAGCAACAATAACTGTGTACTTGTATAAATACAATAATCCAAACTACTTTAATAAACTAGAAAATAAAAATTCGAGAATGGTTATTTCTAGGTAGTTATGTAGAGGTGGTCTGTTTTTGTAACTTTATATGTTTTCCAGATTCTCTAAAGTGAGTGTCTATTATATTTAAGATTTTTTAATAAATAATTTTTGTTCTTTTTGACCATCTTTGTTTGACCCCTATATCTAGGATGGAAATTGAGGAAGGATAGAGGTTGTCAAGAGGTGATTCCAATCCAATTTTCAGGACTGTTCTTAAAGAACTGAGAGCACATTTGTTTTCTTATTAAACAGTGATAAAGGCAAAAAGTATGTTATGTCTTTGATTTATTTTATATTTATAAGGCTAAGATGGGACATTGTCAAATTTAACTAATTTGTAAGCTCTAGGAGTACTTTACTTGTTCCGTTTCAGAACACACGGATGTAACAGTAGTGCTTATTTCTTGACAGGTTTTACAACTGCTTACAACATGCTTTGGAAAGGGAAACTGATAGTAAATCACATCCCAAGATCAAAGAGAAAAATAACTCATCATATACTCAAAAGAAAAATAGAAGCCCAGAAAAAGCACATGGCAAATGTATTACTGAAGAAAATGTTAAAGAACTTGAAAATGAAGATGATGATGATCCAGAAATCATTGTTAATATCTTTCCTGATGATTACTAAGGTTTGGTTCTGAAGTGTCTTGGTAGAAGAATATTTTTAATAGGTTTTATAAAACTGCTCTTTATAAGAGTGTTTTAGTTCGTTGAGTGTACCAGCCATTTAGAAGAGCAAGATTTAATTTCTCTATATTTTAGAGAAACCCATCTTATAAACCTATATAGCTTTTTAAGATTGCTGTGTATATTTGCTCATTAAATACCACCTTTTTTAGTCACATAGAGATTCACTGCAAAAATAAAATTATGATTTTCAATGCCTCCTTTTTTTTGTTTCAATTTCTACTTCTGCAAAACAGGAAAAATAAGTATAATACCCACTTAAGAGAACCTTAACATCAGGATTATTTGAGTAAAAATCATTGTACCATTTTATTTATTTTTAACTTTGAAACTTCCAGCCTTTAAAAGAGTGTCTGTTACCATGGAGTCCAATGACAAGTTTTTTCCTCCCTTTTCACCTTGTGGATAAGACAACTGATACCCTTTTTGTTCTGGACAAAATACCTGAACCTTCTTTCCCCTTTATTTCTCACAAACCAGAGCTTGCCACTGCCACAGTCTCTGTGATACACACGAGTATAATTTTTCACTAAGCCTGATCAGAAATGATAACTAAGACACAGACATATTAATGGAACAAATGTGCTATGGAAAATTGCAAGGATCAGAAACCTTTGAATTCTGACTGCTACACAGAAGTTGGAAGTCCTTGAGCAGATCACTTAATTTCCAAGAGCTTCCATTTCCACATCTTCATGGTAGTAATTCTAATACCTGCCTTGGGCTTGACAAGATCAAGTTAAAAATATGAAAGCATTTACTAATACAGCATTATGTACATAAGTATTTACTTTTATTATAAAATGAAGATGCTTTCATGCTGTGTTTTCAGAATATACCAAATCATAAAAATTATATATTTAAAGGAAAATTACTAGTCAGTCATAGAACTAATAGATTATAAGATTAAAATACCAGAATGTCAAATAAAAAAATTATATAATGTAGTTAACTTTTGAGTTGTGATTTTGGCATTTCTAATATTTTTATAATTTCTCTAAGCCTGAACTTTATATATAAACCTTTGTATAGATTTATACCCCAGATGCTTGCTATCTGGCAGATGGCATTTTGTACTCATTTTTTAAATATGTTGACTTCATAGACATCTGTTGTCTTCTAAATAAAATCATCAGGATTGGTGTGCAGGCAGCTCTAAAGTTATTATAAGGTTTTGTTCCTACTCCTGTTTTCTATCATAGCTCTGAACTGCTCTCTTTTTGGCCTATAAAATAAGATACTAATATTTATGGCCCAGTTTCTTTTAGTATTCCCACAACATTTAGGAAGCCTTCAAACCCAGTTCTCTGTTTCACTGTTTGAGAAGGAGCTTCCTTTGAGTGCTCACTGTCATGTAGCATTAGGTGCTATTGGCCACTTTCACATCTGTGAATCTGCCCTTTCATGGGCTTCTTGAATGCTGTCTTCTGAATCATTTCTCTGTTTATGGTGAATCCTTCTCAGTTCTTTTTCTCTACAATCCTTTAATAGTTTTCAATATTTATTACATCTTAGAATCATCTTTAGAACAAAAATACAGAAAGCAACCAAGAATCTCCAGGGAGAGACTCTAGGCTTTGTCATATTTTTAAAGCTCCCAAGTTGTTCTAATTGTAAACCAAAGGGTAATAACTCTGTAGACACCCCAAGCCACCTCATCCATTCCAGTAGACTTAACCTGTCAGACAGTGATTCCCAGCTTTCTTGCCCTGATCTGTCTCCTGAGCTTTGGCTCACTGCTAGACCTCGCCCACAGAATTGTTATTAGACTTCTTTCCTGATTCTTGGCAAAAGAAAGCAGGTTTCGTTGAGACTTTTGTCCGAGTCCATGGGTATTTGGGGGTTGCTGGCTTTTTCCAGTGCCCAGGCTGCGATATGTGAGTTTAAAAAAAAAAAGAAAGAAAGAAAGAAATCAGGGAATTCATACTTTTTCTTCAGATGCCAAATCCCCTGGCTGGTCTACTTTCTTTTCTCCACTTTTCAGAGTCATGTTTGTTTTATACATAATGTCCAGGTTTTTAGTTGCCCTTAGTGGAAGGAATAGAGAAAGTATGTCTACTCCTTTTCAGAATCGGAAGTCTAATATATTTTTAAAATTATTGATAATATCAAATTGCTAGAGTATTGTTAACACCTGTGGAACCCCATCCAGATAGCCACAAGTCTGTTATTTTAATGCTGTGGTCTGTCTCCAAACTTGTGTGTTTTGCTGCTCTTGCTTTAGCTTACTGGAGCCTTTCCACCCTAAAGGAGAGAAGGAAAAGTATGTTTTCTGCCTGCCCCCTCCCCACCACCACCGCCATGTATACACATATCCACTGTCTCACGACCACTAATGGTAAGTGCAGAGCTTCAAAAGGCAACTCTGTTGCCCAGAAATCGGATAAACTTGGATGTGCAATCACCACCTATTCCTAGCAGGATCGAGTTGATCCTAGGACTTTCCCAGAAATCCTATCATGTCTCCACTCCCTTACCAGTTCCTTCTGGGAACACCTGCTTAATAAATCACTTGTACTAAAATGATGTCTTCTGCAAGAACCTGACCTAAGACAGGTATTTAGATTGTTTTGGATATATTTTTTAAAGTAATGGCATAAATCTATCTTAAATAAATATTTATTTTAAATAATAGTTGTTATCTTAATGCTGGAAATTAACATTATAGTTGATATGCTAGAAATTATATCCTTGGTTGTGATTTAAACTTACGATGCAAATAAAGTTGATGACATTAAGTACATAATTTTAAAAATTGTTTTAGGGGTTATGCAACTTACATTTTTTTTCAGGATACTTCTACAATACATACTGTTACAGGAACCGAGTGGTGGGAGTAACTGATTCTAGGTGAGGGAGTACTAGAAGTCCAATTGAAGGAGATACCATTTTGTCTAGGTCTTTAAGGACAAGATACAAGTTCACTTGATGGAAAAATCTTAAGAAAAGCTCTTGGCAAATAGAGGGAACGTGTAATGGAAATGAGGCACCAAAGAGCATGGTATATTCAGTGATTGCGAATATTACAGAAAAACTGAAACATGGCATAATATGGTATGAAATGAGCAAAGCTGGTTGAAGCCCAACTGTAGGAGGTAGACCAGTGTTTCCTAAATGTGGCTACACATCAGACAGGATGGGACATGGGGTGCTGCTTTCTAAAACTCTGACTCCTAGGCCCTACCCCACATCTCCCAAACCAGAATCTTCATCTGGAGTCTAGGAATATTTATTTTTTAAACAACTCATCCAATGATTCTCATAAAATCAGCCCAGAACTTTTAGAATCTACTGGTAATAGATTTATTCCTGAAGACAGCATTGGAGAGAAATGTAAATTTTTTTAATTAAAGAAAAAACCTTAATCAGAAGTTACAGTGTACGTGTGCCATACATTTCATGCATACACGTCATAGGAGAGAAAGCAGGAGGTTCCAGTGTATTAATTAGTTAAATTACTGTCCTTACCCTAGTGTCTAAGGCAGTTGCCAGGAAGACATGGCCACGTGTACAACTGTGTAACTTGAACTCTGTACAACTCCAGGAGGGACAGTCCCCTAAATGACAAATTCAGTGGCCCTCCTTGAGGTTATGCAGTGCACATTCTTATACACCAACATATACAGCAACCCTGCCAGGAAGGGAATTTGCGCAGGCAAGGAAACTTACAGTGCCAGAATGTCTAGGACATTTCTTCTAATTTAAAAAGTAGAATATGGAAATATGTTCCAGGCAGGTAGATGAGAAGAGAAACAAATAAAAATAAGCCCTAAATAAGAACTGTAGGAAGGGGAGAGTGGGGGTGGGGGAAGGGTATCCTGTGGTGGAATGACTATGCATTTTGCAGTTTTAGAATATCTCTAAGGGGTTCATAATTCATTGATTTTTCTTCACTTATTTAAGCTGATCCGCAAGGGAACAATGTATTCCAAAGATTCCATAAACCGAAAATAATGGATGAGAATGTGGAAGGGGGGCTGCCTCCTAATCTCTTTACCTTAGGAAACAGACCTGCTCTGGACCTCTCAACTTAACAGAGATGAGAAACCAGAAGAGAAACCAGCCATAAACCCCAGAAACATTGAATCCTACTCAATCTTTAACATCCCTTAATATATCATTTATATATTCAATCCACATGCATAATCACCAATATTAATAAATGTGGCACAGCAATTTAGTAATAATTTAACATACAAGGTAACATATTGAGAATTACCTTGTGGCTTGTTTTCGTTGTAGTTGTATTTCATCCAAAATAAAAGGAATTTTTTCCTTCTTCCAGGATGGAGGCAAGTATTTATTCCTAAAATCTGGATTCTACATGTCACCAAGTTAACTGCTTGTGCCCTATGGGCACCAGCATTGGCTACCCCTGGTTAGAAGTTTGAGGAGAATTAAACTATATTATTGTGTTAGCATACTAAATACTAAATAAGAGGGCAGTACTGGCTACATAATTTGTAGAAGACAGTATAAAATGTTTAAGCAGTAAAGATTGCAACGGAAGAGCGTTAAATCAACTGCAGGGCACCTCTAATCATGTCGCCCTATGCAACTGCACAGGTCACACACCTTTGAAGCTGGACCTGGATTGGGGGCTTGGTGCTTCAAGAGCTGAAGAGGGATGCCTCCCCAACCCCCTTCCCACCTGTGTGTTTAATCCTCCTATCCCCATTAGGAAAGAGGCAGAGTGCTACAGGTTCTGTGATGTGCCAGGACTTGGCACCTGCCCACATGTGGCACCCCTGAGGTGGCAGGACCATGAGATTCCTTGGAAGCCTACAAGGAATCAGCGCTCACCACTGATATTTTGAACCTAAGGCAAAAGTCTCAGTGGTGAAACTCAGACAAAGTAAAATGGAGCCTCTTTCAGAGCTACCTGATTTCAAATTGTGAGCAAAGGCAGTGATGAGCATCATGTTTTGAAAACAAGGGCTTTACCCATTTTGAGAGGAACTATGTAATTTCCAGGGTTAAGTGTTCAAAAACCCTGAAAAATGACTATTGTCATCTTTCTTATGGGTGAGCCCTTGAACTGGCTTTAATTTGGTCAGAGGTTGGGGAGTAAATCTAACACTCCCTTATAAAGTGTACAATAATGAATATCTTCTGGTTAAGATTTTTGGCCTTTAAAAATGGGCATTGACTCTCAAGCCTCTTCTTTCCCTGCTCTATCATACTGCTTTTAATACACG